GGCGGGCCCGGCTGAGCTCTCTTTGCTCCTTTTTCAGGAGGAAGAATCGTGAAGTCTCGCTACCTGCAGTACGATAAGAAAGACACCAAGAAGGTACGTGGACGCCTCGCTGTCGAGATTAGACGTCGCTCAGCAAAGGATAGAAATGGTGTGAGGGGCGGCTCGGACGTGTGGCAGCGAGACCGAAGCAGAAAATGACTCTGCTGGGGTTATGGAGTAGTCGAGATGTGTTACTAGATGCAGACTGGAACGGGAATTTGGCGCTGTACTCGGGTGACTTGCAAAGCACCGAGACGCCCTGAGATTGTAGTTGTTTATTGTCAGCATTCGGGTTGGAAGTGAGATATATTCCTGATCACAATTACTACTTATGTTCAGTCTTACCTGTTTCTTGATTGTCAGGATACTTCAGCACATTCCTCTTCAACGTCTGCTGCTAAACCGTCTTCTGGAGCTAAACCAAGATCAGTTCTTCCTCAGAAATGTAAAACTTCTGCTGGTAGGTTTTACCAGAATTTAGAAGCCATTCTTATGTGAATTTGTATTTCCAACCTGTGGAGCTCTTAACAACTCTAAAATGTCGTTAAGAGACGATGTTTTGTATTACTTGCATCACTGCCAGTTACTATATGTGTACAAAGGGAATTAAGAAACTTGATGTGGGATTAAGAGGTGTAAACCCAAGTGCATTTAACTGTTGTCTGGATGTTCCGATAGAAAACTAATCTGGAACTGAGTAATTGCATTGTCTCAAATAAGCATATCTTGCCTTCTGCATAAGTCTTTGTACTACTCTTACCATGCCCTCACCATTGCTCTGCTTTTTTAATTGAATCTTTAATAAACCCAGTGCAAATGACTGAAAATTCCTGTCTGCAAAACAGTCCATTTTTATTTCTTTTGCAAGAAGATCCTGAGGAAATAACGTTATTCCCTTTTCACATCTGAATGTTATTGTTGAACTCTGAAATGTTTAAGAGGATAACGTTCTGAACTACCTTATTTCTAGGTAAGTTAGGGAGTATACAAATGATGTGTATAAAGTAACTGTGTAAAAGTTTGCATGAAATTGCCACATATTAGTGAAAACATATTATTGTGAACTTGTGCAGAATCTGTTTGAATTTAGTTTGATGACAGCTTCTTTCTACAGGTGTTGTCCCTAGCTCATTAAATAAGAGTAGTTTTGAGAAAGGTGACTTGCAGTCCACATTATTAGATGAAGATAAAATTAGTCGACCAGACCTTGATCTTTCAGCTATTAATGGTAAGCTTCCATTTATACTCCATTTGTTGTTTTATTATTTTTAATGTATGTGCTGTAACTTGATAAGTAATCGTTGTATTCTTCTATAGTCAGAAAAGGATTTTGTTAAATAAGATGAATGTTATTTCAACTGTCTTTAAGCAGAGGTATTAAGACATTCAGGCTTTAAATTAATGTCTTGATTTTTAGTATCTTTTGGGTGCTCTGGTCTTCTTGTTTAAGATCAAATATTAAAGAACAAAGTATTCTCAAGTCATTCTTCTTCTAACAGCTGGGTGTTACAATTTTCAGAAGGGCTGATAACCTACCACATCTATTTGTAACTGTCACTTAAAGCTAAATGCTCATGTGATCCACATCTCATGAGCCTCATCAGAGCCAGAAATAGAGCACATGTCGCCTTCACTGGTACACATGATAATTTTGAAATTATCTTTGCCTTTGAAGAACCTGGTGGTATGTTGACCTACCCTACATACTTTGGTAGAAGACAACAATAACTTTTCTGTTATGATACAGATAAAACTGTCTGCAAGAAGACTCCTCATTCAAAATCTGCTTGCAAAGGAGATACAGGGGCAAGTCAAAAAACAAAAGAAGCGGTGAGTCTCACTGCTTTCATTTGTGAAGCATATTTATTTTGAAATGTGTGAAATGAAGATTTTCTGTTTGTCTTTAATCTTGATAACAACTATAACAACTTTGGGGTCCTGGGATGATCGAAAGCCGTCTGAGAGAAGTCAGAGGATAAGTCTGTTCTACTGCTAGAGATGTTTGTTTTATTTATCAGATGTCTCAACACTGACCGAAGTTTTGCTTCTGTTTCTTGTGGTAAAGAATCTGCTCCAATTGTAGCATCCCCTCAAGTCAATTCTTTTTGTATTCCTGTCCGTGCTCTTTAATTATGTCATGTTATCTTTAAATATTTTCTAACCTTTTTTTGTACGAAAACTAATATTGATTCAACCTAATTTGAAGTACCTTATTTAGGGATCTCATTCAATGTAACACTGAAACTTCAAGTTCTCTACTGGTATAATGAAAATCTGCTGAAAATGTTATAAAATGTGGTGGAACAAAGAAGTATACTTAATTAACATGTACTGTTTAAAAACCCAAACTTTTTTCATCGAGCTGACTGTTGTTGATGATGATGGTTATTCTGGGCACAAATTGGACTTTCAGTGATTTATTCAAATATTGAAAAAATAATTGTTTAAATACCAAAATTTATCTAGTATATTCTTTTCTGAAGGGAAAGGGTTCTGATGATTTGATGGAAGAGCTGGACTCGCAAACACTGCTTTTAACTTACCTAAGAGTAAAGGTGAGAGTCAGTCCAATATTTGGATATCAAGAGCTTGATACTGAGGAGATTTTTAATTTCTTGATTCTACTTTCTGATCTGTGAAAGTTAGATTTTTGTGATTTTATATACTTATGGTTGTAAAACTGTGTGACTTGCTTTGAAAACTCTCTTGGAGTGAATTCAGTGCCAGTTGATTAAGCTGCTGCTGGTTCTTTGTGAAGTAGGGGTATACAGAAGTTTTGGGAAAACCATGAGTAGGAGTGTTTGGAGTTCAAGGTCGTAGCAGTGACTCTGTTCTTGGTTCACTCAGTGCTGTATATGTATATTTTTCCTTCACAAAAAATATTAGTGGGGATCAGGGACAAAGATGGAGGAGGGTGGCTTTAATTATAATGTACTGTGCTTATTGTATGAGGTCTCTGATTCATTAGTTGAAGCTCTTTGACCTTGTCTGAGGCTTGCGTTTGTTTCTTCAGAATATGTTCATAAAGATGTAGCATTACTTTAGTTGTGAATATCTTTTTGGATGTAATAGGCAGGAAAAAATCTTGCTGAGCTGGAGAAAAAAGCAGAAGAAAACTTGTTAATGTTGTGTGAAGAAAAGGAGAGACAACAGGAGAAGCTCTGTGAGTTGAAGCGTGAAATCCTACTCAATGAGATCGAGCAGAAACTTGATGATGCATTAGACAAACAGGTAGGCTTTATTACAATTTACGCTTCTCCTATAATTAAAGAAGCTCACTTATGAAGTAGTCCTTTATCCAGAGAGGATTTCTCTGCTTCTGTGGCCTGCTGGGGTACAATTTATGCATCTTGAAATAAATATCTACTTCCTGTTGTGGCATGTGATGCTCTCTAGTAACCTAAGCAAATGCCTTTGTCACGCTTTTGGTTGTCCCTTGTGGATAGGCAGGAAGGAGAAGTTAGAGCTATTAGGCAAGGGGCAGCAACAATGCCCCAGTTGCCAGAGCAGTTTACAGTTGATGCACAGGAGATGCAAGTATCTTAAAACCACGGGAACATCCTGCAGTTACACAACTACAGCTATGGCTAGAGCTGAGATGCTCACCCTTAGGTGAGAAGTGAACATCTTCTGTTCTTCATTTGTCTTACTTTTATATGTTAGACAGCAATAGTTCTGGCCTGGTTGTAAGAAGGCAAGTTTCTAATGAAGTTCTTCATAACAGACAATCTTAGAAGCTGAAACCTCCCCTCTTTTTCAGTATTTTGTTGATTCTGTTGTGTCAAATGAAAAGGTAGTACTTTCTGAATAATTAATTTTCAAAACTGAACCTATGTTTGCTTTTAACAAATACGCATTGCAAAAATTAAACAAGACTTTTGTCTTCTGGTGAAAACACTGTTAACTACAGTCAACGTATCATGTCTAAAACACTTTGTCTGCTGTGTTGCTAATATCTCTGAGCTACATTAACAAGGAAACTGATATTGACCTAGGCGTTTCGGGGTGTTAGAGGAAAACTTATTAAATAGCACGATAGGAGTATCATACCACAAACTTCTTGAATTCTTCTGTCAACGAGCATTTCACAGTGGTACCTGGGGGTTTTTATAACATATTTTTTTGTATTGAGGCAGGTCGGTCTGACAAAATGGCTGCTTTTGAAGAAGTGTTGGTTCATCATGTGTCTTTTTCAGATGGAAGTACTTTCTCCCCTTGTTCCTGTTTGTGAACAGTTTAAAGACCAATATAAAAGCTTTGCAGTTTCCCTGGATGCCACTAGACATGAATTACCCATAAAGAATATTCACATAGAAGGAGATGTGCTAACGTACCTTGGTATGAAAATTGGATTAATTGAATTTATTTTCAAAAATAGTGTGTTTTGGTATGCTAAAATTCTTACTTTGTTACTTCTAGATCTATCTGTGGCCACTGGAGGAATTTTCTGTGCTCTCAGAGCTTGTATGGACACTGGGCTGCAACATCAGTCATGTGTTTTGCTATGAATAATTCTTGTCTCCGTTTAACCATTAAACTGCACTTGAACAAGTTTTTTATCTTGCAGCAGGAAAAAAATTAACTTCCTAAGCTAGGGCAGTCTTCATACGCACTTTCTTTAGCAAGTTTCTGTGTCTTTTATCTGTATTCATGGTATTCATCCTCCTTTCTCATTCCTAATTGGGTGAGCAAGTTGTAGAAATACACTGATCTCTTCTTGTTTCCGTGTTTGAGGGATAAAGTCGTGTGAGTAGACTTGCTCATGTTTCCTGTAGAACTAGAGATTAAGTATATCGTGTGATGTCTTGAATCAGGAAATGTTTAACAAATTAGTACTTGTGTTTTGTATTGAAGTCTGGACAAAAAGTTACATTTTTAAACTGGTGGTCTGCAAGAAGCGAGGCTCTTAAATAATTTGCAATATTCTTGCTTACGCTTCAGAATAAATGGAAAAGGTTTATTGAAGAACTTAAAATTCTTGCAAGTAATTTTGAAAGGAAAAGATATGCATTTTTGGTTTGTGAATGCCAAAGGACAGGACTGGATAAATTTTGTTTTGGGGGTACAAGCCAATAGCAATATATGTAACTGGCCAGGGAATTTTTTATGTTTAAAACTTGTCTTTTCTCTTGCATTTCTGTCTTGTAAAGATCTTTGACATACTATAAATGAGAGCTTGATTAGCAATTTTAACAGCGTGTTGCTGATGTTAGTCACAATAGCTACAAAATAATTTGGCTTTCCCAGTTTTCTCATGGTATATTTGTAAAAGCTGAACATACAGTAGTTTTCCATCATCAAGTTCACCTGTCTCTGTGGTTACTGCAGCTATCAAGTAATCTTGTATTAACTGATGCCACTGCATGCATGTTTGAATAATATTTTTAATGTCTCATATTGTAGATGAACTGCGAAAGCAGTTAACTATCACACAGGAACTTCTGACAGAAGTTATGCCAAGCTACTCAGAAGAAAGTGAAAAAGCATTTAGTGTACTGAAAGAGCTTAAAGAAGTGTCTCAGAAACTGGATAAAGAGCTTCAAAGGTATTTGCAACAATCAGGTAGAAAGACTTTTTGGCTAAATATTCAGAGGAAAATCTATAGATCTTGCCAGAATATATCCAGAATGTACATTGGGGGAGGAATTGAGGGATAGTAGCACTAAGTTTAATTCCATTTGTAGCCTACCCTACCTACAATCAAAGTGAAGATGCTTGGGGGTTTTTTGTTTGTGTATTCTAAGTGAAGTACTCCAGTGTGCCATTCGCTGACACTGTAGCTGAGAATTTCAGTGAGCAAGAATAGCCCTGGTGAAGTGCAAATATGTAGGAGAGTTAGAGAACTCCAGGAGACAGAAAAGTAAACTGGAAGCACTATGTCTTAAATAATAACCATACAAATATATCATCCTTTAGGAGGTATGAGGAGCACAGAAAAGGTTTTTTTCTGTCAGCAAATAAAAAGCACTGCTGAGAGGCTGAGGGAGAAATGAAAAATGATAAATTTCCTTTTCTTTCTTAATTTACCCGGAAGAGATTGTAGCTAAAATTTTTGAAGACTGATAGACAATAAAGCCATGCATCTCCTGATCCTGTAAACTGCCCGTCCTCTCCTCCTATTTCTAGCCTTCGGGAAGAAAACTTAGATTTTACATTTTTTTTCTGGTGGCTGCATGGTAGGAGAATGATACAAATGTCTAGGCACATAGCCTTTGAGGTTAGGCAGAAGTTATTATCCTCCAGAGTAACTGATTTTACCTTGCTTCATTTGTTCCAGGAGCTTCACACAAGTGCAGAACCTGTCATTTGAAGTTAGCAAAGAAGTTTCTCTGCATAACCAAAGCGTATGCGAAGAGAATCATGGACTAGATGTTGTGAAACACTGGTACTTCAACTAAGTTTGTGTATTGTTTTACTAACGGGTGGGTACTAAATCAATGCCAGCAGACTTGTTATCTTTTTACTACTTGTATGAACATATAAGTTGTCCAAATTTTCAGTTATACCAGAATATGAAACCAGCAGCATGTATGCTTACTAATACAAGAAACAGAGTTTTCTTCTGCATGCTGGTTTGTAAGAGGACTTTTTTTTTTTTTAACCATGAATTTCTGTGACACCTTTCTCATTACTTTCTGCCTTGACAATACTGGAAGGTAAATAATAAGAAATTCTTAGCAAATATGACCTATGTATTCTTAAATGTCTTGGTTTACTTTCTTGGAACTGGCTTCAAGTGCACTGATTTGCGTCTTTTTCCCCAGTAATGTTCCTTTGAGGGCAGCGTATCGGAATATAGATGTGGTACTGTGCATTTCCTGATCTCATGAGGAGGATATGTAGGAATGTACAATGTGATCGTGGGTCACTCGGTGAACAGCTTCTGGAGGAACTCTTAATTGTCCTGTATTTTTGGATTTGCTGAGTGGAAAAGCTACGTGGGTAGCAAATAGGCTGATTATTGGAAGGAGCCTGGTCACTTGTAACAAGTGAAAACTTTTGGTAACTTGTTGCCTAATTGTCTTGGAAACAAATTATTAAAGTTATAAATAGTTTTGTATTGAACTGACACCTTCTCTTTAAGGACTTTTTTTTTTTTCTCCATAATAAAGACTATTTCCACTGCTATATCAATAAGAGCCTTCATGTTTGAATACCTTCACTGATCTACAGAAGCTTTTGTTTCTGTCTGGGCTTACATAGGGCTAATACTATGCAATACAGGCAGTCATGGACTTACAGGCACTAACCAGTCCCAGTGGCAAGCCATGACCTACTGGCAGTCAAAGTGCTGAGGCCAGAAGAAGGAGAGAAAGCTCAAACCTAACTACTGAGTAAGTGCCTGA